CAATGCTTTTACTGTTTTACATGCTTTTCGTTAAGCTTTTATTTTCAATTTTCCAAGATGTCCATCTTGATTGCCTGCACCCGTCGTTCAACGGGATTACTCGACCCAATGGCCAATTCTAGAAGCTTTATTATTTTTATTTTTTTCCACTTTTCAATTATCTAAATTGACCACGCTAAAGATGGTTAATCGAAATTACAAAGAAGTTGTTTTTCCATAGAATTGATAAAAGAAACAAATAATATCTCTTTAATTCGTAATCTGTGAAACAGAATTTTATTTAATAAAAATGCATATCAAGAATAATTCATAAGCAGGCTATTTCTAAAAACCAAAGAAAATTTGCTTATATACCGAATAGATTAAATTTAAGCACGACAAAATTATGTATAAGAGTTAAAATTACGAGTAAAATAGAAAAGAAAAACCTTGGAGAGCTCGAGAAGGGCGTTTTCACGGAGATCGGGGTTGCAGAGATCGAGGACGAGTTGCTCAGCCGATTGCATTTTGCGGTCCTTGTTACCGGCGGCGGCTTGAGGTCCTCCAATGGCAGTTGATGCGCTGGATCCAGCCTCGAAGGGAGCGGCCTTCATGTTCAGGGATTGAGGTAAGTTGGCCATTTTTGCGAGGTTTTGCGTTTGGTTTTGGTTCTGGCTGTGAAGCCTTATTATCGGTGAAAGAAACGAAGAAAGGAGAGAGAATAATTTTATTACGATAGGTGGCACTATGTAATAGGCTGGTAAAACGGTGTGACAATATTAGTTTAAGTAAAATGATGCTAATATAACATTAATTGATAAATAAAATTAAATGACTAATTTAATTTCACCTTTCATTTTACCAATTATCTAATATTATTTAAATTGAGGTTGCAATCCCACTAAGACTATATAGTACTAATCTATTAATTTAGGTGTCACTTAGTGATATGCTCAATTAAAAACATAATTATATGACCTATTTAATTGTACATGTCATTTAGTGCCAATTTAGGTGTCACTTTTTGATATGCTCAATTAAAGATAGAATTAACTTAGTGATATGCTCAATTAAAAACATAATTATATGACCTATTTAATTGTACATGTCATTTAGTGCCAATTTAGGTGTCACTTTTTGATATGCTCAATTAAAGATAGAATTATACATTTCATTTAATGTCCTATAAATTGATATAGTAGTTATAATGTTGTATTATGGCCACATGCACCATTAACAAGCACACGAGACCCGTACATTTCTACGACTTTAATGAAGGAGATCGAGCTTTAAATCGAGACTTTGATGACCCCCACTCAAAAGAAAACGATATGGGCTCATGCGATGTCAACAATAAAAAGTAAGATCCTATTTGAGCCCCATTCTACTAAAAATTCATTTTCAATCACACATTGTTCAATAAAATAATATTACAGACAAATTCAAAACGTTTTCTTAATTCTTAACTACCCATTATCCATCAATCTACTATTCAAAATGCATCATTTCTCCAAAAATGTAGTTCAAACAAGGGATAAATGAAGAAAAATATCGAGTTGGTAGAATTCTTTTCGGAGTGGGGGAATTAAAAGAGAGAATGAAGGAGGTAGTCAACCAAAAAGCAAGTGCAACCATGCCAAGTTCGGAAGAATCAGTTCGTTCATTGATTTGAGACTCAATAATGAAGTTCAGTTGCCCTTTAACCTCCAATTTTCCAACCCTAGTTTCAACTTCAAAATCAAGGGAGTTGCCTCAACAGAATCAATCTTGGTTGTATAATCTCTTTAAGCAAAAATAAGACCAATGTTATTGAGTGAGATGCAATGATCTAAGAAAAGATAGACTGAAACTCTCTCTCCGTAGGTATTCGTACTTATTAAAGAAGGGTATAGATAGGCTTGACATGTTATTTACGAGGTCTTGCTTGAAAGGATTGCCACGTGGCACCCCAAGACCAAGTCATAAATCGTATTCATCTTTCTTAAAAATTAAATGTATGAATTTACCCGACAATCATTATTTGAAAACTTTTTTCTACGTATTCATCAATTATATTCACACAATAAAATATTCTTTGTATAAACCCAAATTTTTTCCTTACTTCTATACCATACCTTCGTTTTATAAATCACTATTTAAAACATTATTTTTCGGAGGGGCTTTATTATAAATTATTTTGACTAAAACTAATGATTCTATAGAATAATCGAAAATATTCTCCATCACCTTTATCACTTCCCAAAAATAAACTCAATAAGTTATTTCCTAATCAACATTCAATCTCCTTCAAAGAACAGAATCCAAAACTCACTTCCCACGATTGTAAATCTAGCCAATTGGTCAAGTAGAATTCTAAACATTCATTTACATAATATTGTTTCCACTCACAATTCCCGGAGTGTTGATAGAAAAAATTTCCAGTTATTTATACACAATTTTCCCATCACTTACAAACAAGCGTCCATTCACTGAATACAAGTAAAAGTTCGAAGCACTGGTTTACACAAGGCACTTTGACGAGCAAATCCCTACACACTTGTACACCTGCATGAGCAGTTATCACAGATTACAAACCAAATAGGCAAACACTATATAAAGAATAAATTAAAAACAAGTACATTACCGAACAAACTTGTACGTCGTGAACACCGTCAATTCAAAAGGCATTTTCATCATCCAACACGAACAAATGGGTGTATAAACTTATGGATCCTACCTCGGAAGAAATTCAATCAAGTTCAAGCTCAACAATACACAGCTGCCACTACTTCTCAGCTGAGATGCCCGTTAACCTTGAAGGCAGTTTTATACTGAAAAAGGTGAGCACCAATAATGGCTAGTTTCACTTTCAACACCTTGGTTTCACCTACAACACAAGTCAGAGAATGTCAAGATACCATAGACCAGTGTCCCTCGTCTACTTCATCTTTAGAGCAATTTTTCCATTTTTGCAGTCTCTCCCTCCATTTCACAAAGATGGCAGAGTCAGACTTGAATTGGTTTTGCTGGGGAGGCATTCAACTTGATTCATTGTCCAATTCTGGCACTACTCAAGATTGTGCCAACTTAAACGAGAAAAAAAAAAAGACAAATTATTAACCGACACACTCGTAGCTTTCCATTTACTATAAATCTGCAACAAATACAAGCATATCCCTGCATCACCACAGCAATTCCCCCAAACACCACAACCTTTCACTCTTATAATAGTTGCACCTTCCATTCTCCCCAACCTCAAACCTTATCAAGCTATCCCCAATAACTAATCCTAAAAGGGGCAGATCTGGTTATCCAAGGCCTCTGCAGTTGTAAATGTGTAGAAATTTTTGCAATGATATCAATATAATGAGATCATGATATGCAACCAGGGGATGTTTCCTCTTCTGATTCTGAGGAATGGAAGTGAGGGTGGTTGAGAAAGACTCCATGCCGACAGAAATGGATGCAGCAATGACAAGGAAAACATTACACACCATAGCAGTAGGCTGGTGGAAGAAAAGTATTTAGTGGTATTGACAGTAGTAGTTGATGGAGAGGAGGGTGATGGCAGTAGGCCCATGGGAAAGGCAAAGCCGAGGCAGATTATTTATTGGTGTGATGAAATTGCCACAACATTAAGTCCCGTCTGACCCCCATTTTCTAAAACTCATTTTTCTCAAATTCATTTTCAACAAGACATTTCATCATTTCATGGGACGCACAACTTTAATCAACTTTTCAACGACACATTTCATCAACTTTTATAAAAAATCTATTAATAATCTTACTTTTAGCTATACCAAATAGGCGCTATATAGAGGGAACTACATTTTAGTAACACTGTGCTGTAAATTAATCTTATGAGCACAAAAGTATTGTTTTGACTAGTATAGAAATATGTTCATGCAAAGGGAATCCTGGAAAGCAGGTTCTAAGTACTAATCTGAAGTAGCCATAATGTTGAAACACTCAAACAGGAGAAGGCTGCAATTTAATATAAAATGATAGTTAGAAAATATCATGCTCAAAATCATTTTTGTTTTCTCAGCTTTCCTCCGACAAATCCTTCATCTTGGACTCAAATAGAAATAGCGACCAATATGAGTATCTTGTTTCTAGTTTCTTTAAACCCCCAACTTCAGAAGCTGGCTCCCACAGTGCTGACAAGTATTGCCTGAGAAAGATATCGAACAACTCGTAAAAAGTCAGTAGGACAGAGACTTGGCCAAGTAGCTTGTATGAAGAATATGGTCTAAAGAGAAAAGATCAATCACAGGATCATGAAAAATACAGTTTATAGGAATAATGTCACAAAGACAAACTAAGATCATTTAAAAGAGAAGCAAACTCTATGCAAGAGAATTTACTACCATATCAACACATCATGCAAAAAAAAAAAATGTGGTTTATTTGCATATGAAAAAAAAAAAAAGACTGCTCAAGGATTGACAAAAAAATTAGTCACATTTAGTCTCCAAGGACAATCAAATTTATTCATATACCCAAATAGTTGAGAAATTTTTACCTAAGGCGGAAGATACTGATATTCTAAAGGTAATCCATTGTTTAAGATAACTATTTATGGCTGATGCCTTGAAACCAGCCTCTCAAGTGAGCATTTCATAGAATGCCTCAAAGCTTATGTTTAAGTTCCATTTATGGAGCTTACGCCTCGAGGCTAATCATCAGCGAGACTTAAGTTGTTTGCACACCTTCTTGCATTTTTTGGATATTTTATTATTCGCCTTAACCTCGTGGACTATATTTTATAACCTAGTATGTTTTGCTGGCTTTTTTATTTTCTTATTTCTGCCTTTACATGGAAGGGAAAGATGAAGGAGAATAAACCATTGGAAGTGAGGGACTTAGAATGAATGAAAAGAAAAAAATAAAAATAAAATAAAAAATACAATCATGAAGAAGATGATAGGTAAACCAAATAGGGTAAATGATTTCTTTCTAGACCTAGTAGTAATGATATAAGAGATTTTTTAGTTGTTTCTACTTCATAACATATATTACAATTTTTCTACTTGATAACTAGTTGTAAGTAAACTATTGATCTATTTTATGTTTGTTTGCATCTTAGACTTTAATTTATTAATCAGTTATATCATGGATTTTTTAAGATGGTTTATGGTATATTATGAAAATATTTTGTATCTTTTACGTTTTTTCGAATTATTTTATTCTGTTTTGACTTAAGGCTTAGGCCACAAAGCACCTCGATACTAATGCCTCGGCTCATAGAGGCTAAACGACTCAGTATCTGATTAAGCCTTTTAAAATATTGAAATATTCACTTCCTTTTTAACCCTTTCTCCACTACACCTAAATAAGATCACATCTGGCATCAACTTATCCCAAACCAGCTTACGACGCATGCATGAGCAGTAAATATCAGCTGTATCCTAGTTTAGTACTACTACTGGATCATACAATTGTAGCTCATGCAAGATAAGTAAAGGACGAAAAGATGAGGCTTGTTCAACTACTACTGGATCATACAAATGTAGCTCATGAGCAGTAAATATCAGCTATATCCTAGTTTAGTACTACTACTGGATCATACAAATGTAGCTCATGCAAGATCAGTGAAGGACGAAAAGATGACGCTTGTTCAACTACTAATAACTCAGAGGCATATAATAATTAGAAGTAGCGTGTTTCTGTAATAAGTTCAACAAGTGCTGGAAGCCAATGAAGAAAATTATTATCAAGTATATGAATCCAAATAGCTTCATGTAAAAAGGATAACCAACATGGAACTATATCCGACTATAGCATTTATGAGACTTACTGACATTAGCTTAATTATATTCATACAAAAATTTATTTCTTTGACATAGAATATTCAACTCCCACTACACTAAACACTTTTATGGGCGAAAAGAACTTACCAATATGAAAAGAAATAGCCAGCTTTCACAACCAAAAGTGTAAAGCACACAATTTCTCGTCTCTCAGCAATCGTAACTACACTAGGATGGAACACATCAACGTCAATATATTGAGGATAGTACCTGTAACTGAAAATGATTATCTTCTGATCAAGAAACATGACCACAAACACATTAAGGTTACATGAGAATATAGCAAATGATCATCCCAATTTTAACATTAATAAATTGGACGTAGTGTAGGATGAAAAGAAAATCGTATAGAAGTTACACAATTCTGTGCCTACTGATCAGGGATCGAGGTTTCATCATCTATTTGGCTGTTTTTCAAACCCTCCTGGTGACGACGTCAAGAATATACTAAAGAAGACAGAAACCGCCTCTCATAAGACAAAACGGTATTATGTGGACAGTGTATAGATTTGGGGTGTCTACTTTTGGAAAACTAGAATTTTCTCAATTTTTACTCGGACAGCATCTTGGCAACAAATGTTTAAAAAAGGTCAAAAGCTTAAACAATTTTGTTTTCATATCTTCACATCAAGAATGAACCAAATTGAAAAGATTTGAGAAGCGCAAGGGGAGACGTAGGGATTTAAAATGACAACAAATAACAAAAATTTAATGCTAACAGGAAGAAGTGGGAGATGCAAAGTCATCATAGAATTAGTTCCAGTTTGACTTTGATGGAATAATTTGCTTTGACATTATCTCCGACCATACGTCCATCTTAGTCAATTCCAGTAATCCCAGTTCAATTAAACTTAAATTTATCTAAACCTTTCATTTTACTTATTCCTAATAATAGGCTCTTCTGATCATTCATACTATCTGACTACAGAAAGAAAATCAAAGCTCAACCTCCTTACACCCTAGACCAATGAACCGATGACACGAGTGGCCCAATCGGTGTCTAAAATTCACCCACCGACAGAGAATCAAAGAAACCAAGCGGTCAAACACCGTGCATAGACGACCACTGACAGCGAGCGACCAAATAATCAAAAAATTTATCGTTCTCCAATTATAGAAAACAATTAATCCTTCATTACATCCCAAATTTCCATGAAATCCCAATGACTAAGCTTGTCGTACATAAAATAAAATGCTCAGTCCCCCTATAAATTGAAGACAATGGGCAAAGCAAGGTCCAAGGTCACACATCTTTTACATTAAGCCCCTGTTTTCACTCTTTTTACTCTTTATTTCTCATACTCATTTTTAACCACATTCACAAAACAAAATATTTTGCACGTAAACCCAAATATTTTCCATACTTTTTAACCACACATTCTCCAAAAAAACACTATTCAAAACATTGTTTTCCCCCAATTTTTCTTTATAATGGCTATCAAACAGGGCTAAATACACAAATAGGTTTTGATAGTCTTTCTGACTTTAGCATGAGAGATCTACCAGGGGCATCCACCCCCATTTTCTTGTAAATACCTGATGTTCAAGAGCAAGTTCAATGAGTTTCCACCATCACCACTATCTAAAGTAATTAATCCATATCAAATCCAATTTGTTGTACATGATTCTGACTGGAACTTTGTTAGTGTTAATTAGATCCAAAATATATTTAAGAACCCAGAGCAGGGTCTTAAAAGAAAATTCAAAGAGATTTACTTCCCACTAAAAATTAATTAAGCAAACCACTATGCCTGCTCAGTATTCTTATTTAATTAGTTAATTCAGTTCACTTCAGCTATTTTAATCAATTAATATAGTTGAATTCAAATCTCAATCACATAGGATCTATCGAGCTTAGCCTATACTATCTAAAGCTTCCATTATTCATACTCCTAGTAATATACTTCTAACCATTTATTCCATCCATGATATTCAAACCCGCATTAAATCCCAGTTTGACAGTGTGACCTCTCATTAAGGTCTTCAAGAAAAACCTAAATAAGAAATTTAAACAAATTTATGTATACAAAAAATAATTTAGTTAACTAATGTATATACTTGTACAGTATATATTAATTTTAGTGGACTCCAGCTATGTGAAATAAAATTAATATAATTAAATTTGCTATACCTAGCGCGGATCCAGATAAAATTATCTTATGATACTCAGTAAAAATTTGATCCTACTAACAACGGAATCCTGTAATTCAACGAACCTCCAACCTGTCAAGAAATAGAATCTCAAATTGTTGCAGCCTTGTTCTATTTCCCTTTGACCAAGAACGAAACAAATATCAACACAATACGCCAATCTAAAGCTAGAACCATCAGGAAAAATTACAACTTGCCATGCACTTATCGAATCGAGATAAGAAAATAATCTTTAACATTGCCATCAAAACCAAGTGTAAGCAATACTGCTTCCATTCAATTAGTCCAGTTTCCAAGCGAAACTAGCTTCCACGGTATATCAATTATTCAAGAGAAAGGATCGCAGCAGTTACTAAAAGAAGTCTTAAAAAATTTATGAACAAAAGCAATAAACATAATAGTTCTGGACTGAGTTAAGGCTATATTGAAGCAAAAAGTCACACCAAGAATATGATTAAGGAACTGCAAATCTAACCAGAATATGTTAATAAAAGCAGAAAAGATAAATGATAAAAACTGGCACATCAACCAGGAATAGCATCACTGCATCATCCGATAACCCTATGTCTTGTATAAATTGACCGGCAAAACTAAGATGTTCCCCCACCTTGAAGGCCAACCAGAGACCCATGAACATTGAGAAGCAAATGTTGCAGACACCTTTTCATCATTGGATCTTCCTAGAAACATAGAGCATCTTAGCATCAGGAAGAACAATAACAAGTCGAACTATAAAAAAAAATATTAATCTCACCCTTCCCACAAGAACAGAGTAACTAAAAGAGATAAAATACTGTTCGTTAAAATAACTTGTGCATTGGGAACCACTTACATTAAGGAGATTATTAAATGTGCCATCCATGAGAATTTCTGGAAGAGAATCTCTTAGAGCAATGCGACCCCTGCAAAACAAGTTGATTAGTTTATGTGCATGAGTGAGAGTGTAGAAAGGAATGCAGTGACAGAAGTAACTTAATCCAATCCATGAATGACCAACCTTACGTCCTCAGATATCCGGATATAGCACTTAATAATGTGTTTTAATAACCAAGGTGAAGGGTGTGCAGCCAGTCCAACAACCAAATTCCTCAGTACTCGACCTACAGCATAGAATCGATCTGCTGCAATACATACATAGTTTAAGCCCTCTCCATCCTGCAATATCTTTAGCAGAATATAAGCTGCAACCTGCCAGTGCAAGCTCTTCTATCAGGATCCCCGAAGTTACATCAAAACATATCAAAAGTAAGAGCTGATAATCTACACAAGAGACTAAAAGTTCTAGTTCGGACAAGAGGTTCCACGCACTGCCATGGACCTGTGTCATCTATACATCTGCATATCATGTTCAAAGTGTGTATATGTGTGCGCGCGTGCGTGAAAATGTGGCGATGCGCACGGGTAAATTACATGAGCTCTAAGGTCCCAAAGGTGGCTCCACAAAAGAAACTATTGACACTCTATGAATACTTGGACAAAAATGAGAGATTGTTTATGAACAATAATATTTCCAACACCATGGCAGAGCACATTTTGTAAGATAATAAGAGTTGGCCACGGTTATCATTTGGTGGCACAGCAATACTTAAGATTTTGGTACCCTTTCAAAAGTCTTGTGCTTTTCACTCAGGCTCAGATAGAATATCGGAATTTGAACTCTATGCCCTTAAGTTTAAGAGTCCTAGTTGAACAAGTACATTTTGCAATCACCTCTCAACAACTAAGAAAATGCTGTCATGATTATTTTTGCAGTACAAAAAAAGGTCCTAAAATTAACAAGAAAAAGAAAAATCCTTCATTATATTATAGGAGATGTCGAGACTCAACATACATTAGAACTAACTATACCCACGTGGACAGCAATATAAAATTTTGACCAGGGATAATTACAGATAGTCAGGCATTTCATAAGAATAAATTAAAAAGACAAACACGATTCCAAATTAAGTGTTCAAGACACCTCACCATTTTTGACAACTCATTGCCGTTCTCCATAGTGCGTAGACACAGGGGCATAATTTCTGTAGCGAGAAGGAAATGGATAACTGCAGTGTCATCCCCCTGGAGAAAAGTGACGAATATTATTTTAAGATGTTAGGAGGAATGAGCGTGAATTATAATCATATTTAAAAGATGTCATGCACATAAATAATCAACATACCTAACCCAAAAATAAAAATTTCAAAAATCAAGTAGTAGCAAGAGCAAAAATGCTATTAATATTTCTTCCAGCTTTTAATTCAATAAGCACGGATTAAGGAGTTATTTGTTGATCGGCAGTTTTCCTAGGTATCCTTTGCCTGCAGATTCTCCAAAGCTATTAGGTCAATTGGCCTCCATTCACGTAATGTAAAATGAAAGAAAAGACACCCACCAGCTCCAATTAGTATCTAGCAGATCGTTCGAAGAACATTACACCCCAATTACTGCAGTGAGATCATATAAAGCAGGGAGGGAACACATACGAAGAGTAAATATAACTGCTTTGTTTACGGAGAAATATGCAAGTCTACTACATTTCTGCACGAGGAAAGCAACCCATATTTCGAAGTAAATAGATAATTTAAGGTTTACAGCTTTTTGTTGGTGAATATACCTTAATGTGGAAAAGAAGATGCTGGCACAAAATTTCCTTAACAGCAGTGAATTGCTAAAAATTACCTTCACTAGAGCACCAAGGACACCCAGGCAAGTAAGCCTCAGGTACTCAAATGGCCTTGATTTGCAATCTGTGGTAAGAAAGCAGTACAAATACGATGGAAAGTGTGCTGCAACAAATAGAAAGACCAGCAAAAAAATTGTCAGAGTTGATGGCACAGACATGTACTGCCTAGATGAAGTAGCAGTGAGAAAAATGAGCTATTCATCTAAGGAAACAGAAAAACAAAATAAAACACTAAAGGTTGAATTATGAGCATCAGACACCATCACTTATCAAACACTCCAGGACTCATGTCTGATACACCACAAGCCGCATCCTATTTTTCATATATTTTATAATTTTCCAACACTCCAGGGACAATTTAGGGCAAAACTCAGGCACTGTCCGACATGGCATGTGGTGTGTCCTATATGGTTCAATTTTTTATAATTCTAACAAAAGAGGAACATGTTCTCATTGAACAAAGGACGCAGAAAGTCACATTTCATAATTTTTGGAAAATAAAATCAAAAACATTTTTAATCATCAGAACACTTATAAAAATGTCAAAATAATGTGAGGAAAGTTGTACAAACTTCATGTCAAATTTGTTTTATGTCTAATATCCGTGATTTTCTTTATGTCTCAATAGTGATATATAGTTCAAAAGTGGTTTTAGTCTTTTAGATTAATAAATGACTACTGCTCTTATTTAAAAAAATTCACCATAAAAATAACAACTCGAAAGTGTTAATATTATTATAAATAGTATTATAGTAGTAAAGAGATAAAGATATACTGTATAAATGTACTTCATTTAAATCTGTGTCAGTGTCTTACTTTTTTTTAAAATCACATGTAATCCCTCGCAAAAACTCCTACTTTCAAGAACAAATAATCGTGTACAAACTTCGAGAAAACTCCTCGTAAGATTCAAAATTTCAATCTCTTAACAGATGCAGAAAATGAAAATTCACACGAGGAAGAGATGAAGGAAAGTACCCTGGACAAACAACCTTCTCGTGTCCCGATGGGAAGCCACACACTACAGAGAAAAGGATAGAAAATATTAATACAAGAACAGAAAAACGTAAGGACAAAGTTGATATTTCTTGATCACAATTATTTATTTTCTCTAGGAAAGGGGAAAGTTCTATTGTTTTGCCTGCCATAATTTGAATCAATGTGAAGAATAGAATTAATAAATTACAAAAAATGCATTTGCTTCGCATCTAAAAAGAGAACTGCAACTTTATTCACATAAAGAATTTCGAAGCTATACAGCAGCAATTGATTATTCTATTTATCAGCAACTCAAGAGTGATATATTTGTCACTAACTAGATTAAGTAGAATCCCAAGTTCAATTTGTATGTCATTAGGTGAAAACATAGAATTAACAATTATTTTGAATTATCGTTACAGAGTGAAGGTCAGCAGTAATGTCTGGATTATCTCTGCACTCATAAAATTTTCTAGCTTCAGTGCCATAAAGTCAAGCATAAAAAATGAATAAGGGCCTATATATGTTGTATCAATTTCAGCACTCTCTATGTTCTCGATTTCCCAGCTCTAGTTGCCAATATAGGAACATGGCAAAAAGCACGCAACTGGTGAGGGTACTCACTTTGAAAGAAACGATGTGATTGCAAAGAAAATTAACTCATGAAAAAATATATTTATAGAATAAAATGAGGTAAAAATAAAGTTCGCACAAGGGTAAGAATCAAATATATCATGGATAAATATAAAGAATAAGATACATAAGGGAAAAAAAGCACTTTGGATGGTTTAGTGTTCACAGATCTATTCCTTGTAACTTCCCAAATCCCAGATGCAAATTGTTCCCTGCCAAAACAATTCAGCGACCATGAAGATGCTTGGCACCTTCTCTTGTTACAGTCTCCTAAATACCCTAATCACATTCTGGCAACAGATAGCTAAGAGAAGATAAGCTACTTATCCTTGTTTCTTTTTTGTTATTTTTTCCTTATGCTTCCCAGCTACCACCTATGTCTTCTTGGTTGCTAGTGGCAATTCAAGCAATTTGCCCTATAGATATCCCACAATAATACCTGGTGTTGATCAACAGAATGAGGAGAAGATAAGCTGCTTATCCTTTGTTTCATTTTTACTTAAGGAAAATTGCAGCCGAGGTACCAAATCTTTCGTTTATTAGCAGACTTTGTCCAAACCTTTAATTTGTGTCATCCACAATCCCAAACCTTTTAAAAATATGCACCGCGGGTACAAATGAATGGAAACCGTCCGTTTGACCCTTAGCTGACCAATAAAATTGAATTTTGACCAATTTTTAACCAACTTAAAAGGGTAGAAAGGTAAATTTGTTATTATATACATAAATTAATTAGAAAAACTAGAAATAAAACAAAACAAAATAAAATAAAAAAGAGAAAAGAAATAAAAATTAAAAATCACCGTCCACCCTCACTCCACCCACCCTCACTCCACCCACCCTCAAACTAAACCTGCTACTTTCGGCCGTTGGAAGGTCCAGATCAAGATGCTTCTGCTTATGAGTTTTCTCTTACGATGCAGTGCGAATGCGTCGTGTCTTTAGAAAGTTATCTTTGTATCCAAAACGAGTTTCATCTCTATCCTCTGTAAAATAGGGTATTTCGGGTCGTATTCAGTAGATGCTTCGGGTAATTCAGGAGTTTGGGTTGCTAAGACGTGGATATGGCCACGGCAGCCTCTTTAAAGTTGTTTTTTTACTGCCTAGTCCTGGTTTTTGATAGGATCCTAAGATCCTGCTTTCTGGGTTCCCTGCAACTACTACAAATAATGTAATAATCGAAATGGAAGAACGAAAGCCAAAAAACAACAGATAGAAGTACCAGACTGGTTCTTCCATTTAAGGGGTCAAAAGCATTCTGGATCTGGTTCTTCCATTTAGGGGGTGAAGATGATGAACTGGAGACCTTGGCAATCACTGATTCAAGAAAATTTGAGGTGAAATTTAGAGTGCAGCTACTTGAAGTTGCTGTTGCTGATGGTGATTGGGTGTTTAAGGGTACGGAGAAGGATAAAAGTGGGCTTGCAGTGGAGATCAGGTGGAAGGGTTGATGGACCAAGCGGTAGCGATTTGGTAGCATGGGATG